CTTTTTCGTACAGTGGCTTCTTCAGTTTTTTTAATTGGTAAATAGAATCACAGAAGCTGATCTCATAGACATTTTGTTAAGATTATTACTTTTGAGACACCATTTTTTCTTAATCACTTAATGTATGTTGCATGTGTGTGTGTGTTTATATGTATATACAGTTTTACATTTAACATGTTTCTCAAAGTTTGAGGTGTAGAGCAGAATATTCCTCATACTTGGTGGGAGGAAATTCTTTGTTAACCCACTTTTTTTTTTTTAGTAGAACAACAGATTATGAGGGAAGAGCTTAAATCCCTTCAAGCAGTCCGAGATCGACTTAGACTGAAAGTTTTGGAATTGGAAGAAGACCTGAAAAAGTCTAAAGAAGAAACTCAAAAACTTAAGCTTAAATCTGATGATGAGGTATGATTAAGCAAGGAGAAGGTTACTGAAAAGGTTTATATCAAGTATAAGAAATTGGTATGTAACTTTTATTATAGTACAGCCAGGAAAACTTGAACTAAAGTCTAGTGAGGAATAATGAATAACCTGATATTTGATATTTTCAAAACCAATTTCTCGTGGTATTCTGATTTTTACCAGGTGAATCTACAGTCAGTTGTTATATAAAAGGATATTTTGTAACTTAACCCTTTTGCTACTGACACTATTTTTAAATTCCGTTCTGCTTGTGGAACTCAGTTACGTCCAAAGTTTAGTTAAACTACTTTGTTATCAATATATGTCAATGAAGTTAACATTATAATATATGTTATAATTTGAATTTTTATGTTATCTAAGTTTTAATTCCTTTGTTTCTAAGAAAACCTTTTAAAAAAGTAACTAAATTGCAGTTTTTGTGTGACATATCCACATGCTTTGAAAAATTTCAACTACAGCAGTGGTTCACTCATAGCCACATAAGCTGGCAGTGTACTTGAGTGTCTAGATGACAATATAGATCCATGTACCCTTTGAACATGTAAGATACATGTCTTAACTTGTAACATGTAAGATACATGTCTTAACTTTTATGTTTTAGTTAATTATGAATTATTTGTATTTTAAAAATCATACTTCAAACGTTTAATGATTTTTATAAGCTTAACTTGTCACCTGGATTGTAAAAGTGTATAAACAAGATGGCATCATTCACATGTGCAAAGCGTTAGTGAAACAAGTCTCTATAGGGAAGTCACTATATAATAATAATAATAATAAAGCCCCTTGGGTAGCATTTGATGTATCAACATAAATATTATAAGACAAAGAATTGAAAAGGAAAGTATAAAATACTATAAGTGAAAAGATAAAGACGTAAAGTTAAACATGTTAAAAAACAAGTTTCAAAAGACTTGTACGAAGAGTTAAAAGGTATGTACATATATCCATTTCTTAATTTTAAACATTTCATTGCAGTGTACATTAATGATAATAGGTAGAGTTAGTGATATAGTATAGAAAATATAAACATTTACCTTAAACTTCAATATTCATTTAGGAGGTTCTAGAGATTATGCAAATGAACTGTGAAAACTGTAAAATAAAAAATAGTATTTTTATACTTAACATGAAAATCACCTGCAACTATTCAAAGTTGAGTGCAAATAACTACATTAAGTAACAAATTTGTTATTAGAAATATTAGAAAAAATCAAAATTAAACATTTTATTTTTTTGAAACTACATGCTTTTAGGAAAGTGCTTGTCAAATTTCAAAAAATTTCACCCACTAATTTTATTTTTGGGACGAAATATAATGATAGTGATGTTAGGTCCTTAAAATTTGGGGACATGGTAGCCAAAGGATTAAAGGACTTAATTTGTGCACACAAGTAGTGTGATCTTCTTAAGATAATGTTCTGAAGATATAGATGAATTCACTTTGTCTAATTTAAATCATGGGCATTTGAAAATAGATTTTTTTGTGTTTTACCTTTTAATGATTTCCCTAGCCTGCTGTATTTTGTTGGTGACATTCTGTTTTGCAATGTTGATATTTTTTATTACTTATTTCTTTATGAAGATGAGATTCTTGTGTATTGCTGAGTTGGTATGTTGCTGGACAAACAAGTTTTTATATGAAATCCTTCTATGTTGAATACTCATTGTATGCTAAAATGTTCCTAATGGTTAATATTGCCATGATGTCTTGTGTTTTCAGTAGAGAATTGACAGTTGTAATGTAATTAAGTTTTTTATCTTCATCTTCAAAGGAAGAGATTCCACTTGCTCAGAGAAAGCGTTTTACTCGTCTGGAAATGGCCAGAGTCCTGATGGAGAGAAATCAATACAAAGAACGTCTGATGGAGCTACAAGAAGCAGTACGTTTCACTGAAATGATTCGAGCCTCTCGCCATGATATAGCTGGAGACAAGAAGAGGAGATCTTCTATTTGGAAGTTGTTAGTATTTGATTCTTTGATCAAAAAAGGAATATACATGAGTATACCATTAAGTCTTTATACTGCTCTATAATCACAATTCTGTAAGGAAAGATGCCTTGTAAAAAAAAAAAATCATTCAAAAAGGCTGATAAATGACTGATTGGTGACATACAACTGAAACCATCAGAAGACAAGTACACACTCAATAGACCTACTGATTGTATCTGGTATTATTACTTAACTCTTCTTATTTGTCTTCAGGGTATTATGATATTATGTATTATGTTAAAAACATAAAGTCAGTTTCAGCATAAAAACATGAACTTATGTTCTTGTTTTCAGTTTTAGCAATTTGTTCAGTGGAACAGAAAAACAACGAAATTCTAGTCCTTCTCCAAGTTTGAAGTCCTGCATCTCTGGTTCTTCTGTTGTTGATAGTCCAAGAAAGAAAGCATTGAGTGATCGTCATAGAGGCCTTGATTTTTCAGAAACAGAATTGTAAGTGTAAAAGCAATATATATTTGAAATACTGTTACTTGCCATTTAAGTTCAGCAGCTGTTTACCAATCTCTGTTAAATATGTACATCAGATGTGTAAGCTGAATAAATATGTAATATTCCTACGTATTCTCAAGATATGAAAGTATAAAAAATAATGAACTGTGGTTTAAATACTCTTTTATATGTGCATTTAGACAAAGAACTGTGGATCTTGTACAATTTTGATTAGGTTAAAGGTTTTCAAGAATTTATCTGAGAGCTAAACAACCTCAAATGTTTTTTAACAAAAAAAAG